TGATGGATGAATGGATGGATGGATGAATAGGTGGATGGATGGATAATGGATGGATGGATGGATATATGGATGGATGATGGACGGATATATGGATGGATGATGGATATGGATGGATGGATGGATATATGGATGGATGATGGACGGATATATGGATGGATGATGGACAGATGAGTGGGTGGATGGATGGATGATGGATGGATGGATATATGTATGGATGATGGATGGATGATGGATGGATGGATGATGGATGGATGGATATATGGATGGATGATGGATGGATGGATGGATATATGGATGGATGATGGATGGATGGATGATGGATGGATGAGTGGATGGATGGATGGATATATGGATGGATGGATGGATGATGGATGATGGATGGATATATATATGGATGATGGATGGATGAGTGGATGGATGGATGATGGATGGATGGATGGATATATGGATGGATGATGGATGGATGAGTGGATGGATGGATGCATGGATACAGGGCTGGCTGGCTGGCTGGTGGATGGATGAATGAATGGATAAGTAACAGTTAGATGAGTGGATTACATAGGTGGTAGGTGTTCACTACCCTGGAAATTACACCCAGTGCCATCATGGAGCTCAAGGGTTTAGAGCCACAAGCTCAGGCTACAACAGGAGGGGCACAGCAGTGGCACAGCCGAATGGAGAACCTAGGGATAGAACATGAACACAAATACTCTGTCCTTTTCTAGAACCCTAGAGGGAGCTTTCCTCACATGGAGAGAATAAACCCCCTACAGGATCCCAGATTCTCAGGCTCTTTGGGTCCCGCAGTTCTGGGATTCCATGCTCTGCAAGCCCACACTGCTAAGAGCCTGCACCCTTGGGCCTCCGAGTTCCCCAAGGTTGCTGTGGTTCTGTGACTCTGTGCCCATGCCCTTCTGCAGGCCCTCTTCCTGCACTTCATGAAGGGACACGGCCAGAGAAACTGATGAGCAAGGCGCATGCCAGACCTCTGCTGGTGCTAGGTGCTAGTGCTAGGTGCTGGTGCAGGCAGAGATCCTGTGGGGCCTCTCTCAGGGGAGTTGCCTGCCAGACCTGGGAACCGGTGTGTCTCTCCTGGCCTTCAGGAACCCGGGGCTCCCGTCCAGCCATTCCCGGGGAACAGGCTAGGTCCCAAGGCAGGGAAGGGCCGCCCATGTGGCTGTTCCCTGGATTTGCACTCTGGTAGAGCAGGAAAGAGAGGCCCCACACTGGTGGCCAGGGTCCCAGGGGATGATCTAGACAGGTGGGGCCATGCCAGGCCCTGGGAAGCAGGTGAGAGAGACCTGTGTCTAGGCCTGTGGCCCTGTGTGTGAAGGTGAGTCTCCTGCAGAGGAGGGAGGAGTAGGAAGGCCTGGGCGTGGGGTAAGAGCCCCAGGCCAGCCGGGACGGAGTTGGGGGAGGAGGGCAGGCCCAGCTCTGGTTCCCACTGGCTGGCTGGGTGATCCTGGGCAAGGCCCTGCCCTCTCTGTGTCATCTGAGGGAGGCCCTGTCAGTGTGTGCAGGTCCGTGAATGGAGGGACAAGGCAAGCCTTCCCCCAGGGCAGCATGACACTGTATCCTTCCACAGCCTGACTCACGGGGTAGTCACCTCAGCCCTGTGGGGAAGAAGGGGTGTGCCATGCCCAAGGCCCCCCAGGCCCAGACCCAGGCCCCGACCCCCTGTCCTTGCTCCATCCTTCAGGAGCCCCATTCTTTGGCTTCCCTGATTGTCCTACTCACATGGGGCCCACTTGTCTGTGCCTTGCCTCCCCAGCTCATCTGGGGGTCCCGAGGGCTGGCCCTGTCTCTCCTGTCTGTCTGTCATGCCCTGAGTGTGTGGTCCATGGCGGGTGCTGCTAGATGAGCGAGCGAGCGGGCAGGTATGGTGCCTCCCTATGTGCGGCCAGCCAGCACTTGCCCATAATGCACCTGGAAGATGAAGAAGCCTTGTCTGCAGGCCCCAAGGTGTGGGGGCGCCTCCAGGGAGGGAACCCGACTTGCCCATCCTGGTGCCCACCCTCAGCCCAAGGAAAGGCCCAGGAACCCCCTAAGCTGCATTTTCAGAAAGTCTGGAGTGGCCACTGTCTGTGCTGAGCCAGGCGCTTCCCTGTCTGGGCCACTCGCCCCCTGTGTGGGACCCCAGGCCTTGATTCCAGCCCCTTCCCCACTCCAAGGCCGAGCCCCTGGGGAGCAGTAGGAAGGAGGGCGGTGGGGGGGAGGGGGTTGGGGGGTTGTGAACAGGGAAAGCAGGAGGCAGCAGAGGTCTGGGCTCGTCCTGGCGCCTGGCTTCCGGCCGGCTGAGTTCAGGAAGCAGGAGGGCTGAGGGGTGGGCTACTAGTACTCCCGACCCCATGCCCCCCAAGACCTCCTCTAGACTTTGTTTCTGCTGCCAACGTTCTGCTGGCACTGTCAGGCCCAGGGACCTGGCTGGCTCCAGGGACTGGGTGAGAGGGCTTGGGTGCTGGACAGTGGCAGCTTTCTCCAGAGGATGAGGGGGCGGGAGGACAGGCCACGTGATGTGGAAGTGTCAGGGGCTGGCGCCAGCGGGGCCCCCTCAGAACCTCACTTCCTCACCAGTAAAAGGATGTTGGAAGGGGCCAACTTAAGGGGCCATGACAGCTCCTCTCTCCCCTGAAATCTGCCTCCGAGATCAGGGCAATCAGGTCACCACCTTCAGGAAGCCCTCCCTGACTACACTGTCCGATGACTCCCAGGTCTCCGAGAGCTCCTGCCATGGAAATCGCCCACTTTCTCGCACAAGTAAACTGTGTCTGAGGCTGCTGTTGATGGTCCTGCTAGGAAGCCCCCGGCACAGGCAGCTCACATCTAGGTGGGCAGCCCTGGCCCTCACTGGCAGTCCTGTCAGAGACAAGGCTTTCTTCCCATGGAACCAGAACCTAGCTGCCACCTCTGCTTCGGTAGGTGTCTGTCCCTGCCTGCAGGGCGCACGGCCAGTGAAGGCTCAGGTGCCCCATGAGGATGGGCCAGGGGTGCAGGGGTGCCCTCCAGCCCCAGTGAGGGGAGCCTGCTGCCCAGCAGCCTCACACCCAGACTTCCACTCCTGGTCTGCCCAACACCCCTGGACCCCTTAGCTCTACCAGGCCCTATGGGAAATCCAATCCCCCAAACCTGTTTTCCTAGTAGCTTCCATGCCCCCGGCCTCAGTGAGTCACCCCTCCCCACCTGTCATTCCTACCCCCCCACCCCATGCCAGTCACCACTCTGTCACCGAGCCCTACGTCCTGGTTCCCGAGGCCTCTGGGGCATCCTCCTTCCACCTGCCCATGAAGGGCTGTGCCTGGGGAATTCCAGGCCTCAGAGCTCGGAGTGACTTCCTCTCTGGGTGAGGGCACAGGTGCCCCATAATAACTGCCTTGTCAAGAGAGACCCCAGCTACCCTAAATAAGACCCAGGGAGCCTGGGACCAGCCGTGGGGCAGGCTCAGGATGCTGATGCGGGGCTGCCTCAGGGGCTCCTGCTTGCACCCTCCCTGCCCCGCCAGGGTCCTGGAAGGAATGCCACACCAGCCCTGCACCTCTGGCCAGGTCTCACCAGGTCCAGTAACATCTTTAGGGAGGGTGGCCCAGAGTGTCAGGCAGCAGGTCCCTGGACCCCTGGCACCATGAGGCAGCCCACCTCGCCCAGGTGAGGCCTGGCTCAGGAGCTGGCTTGTCCAGGCCATGCCAGGAGGAAGGGCCAAGGGCTCCCAGAGCTCCCCGGCCTGAGCCCCCAGTGTTCCCAAGAGCTGTAGGCTGGCTTTGCCCCCTGCCCTCCCTCCAGCCCAGGGCCACCCTCCCTGCAGTAGGTCCTGCCCCTCCAGTTCTGAGCTCTGTGCTCAGAGCTCAGGCCCGACTCACCGTCATAGTCAGTGTGGTCTGCCAGGATAGGGTCAGGGGGAGGCCTCTGTAGAGCACCCCCCCACAACCCAGTGGGGTCCTCCGGGCACAGCAGAGAAGCAGGAAGGTCCCAGGGCCAGCAAGCGGACAGGGAAACCTTTGGGGAAGGGAGGGCAGTGCCTGGGCTTAGGGGCCAAGTCTCCCCCTCCCTCAGGCACTGTGAGACAGTGAAGTTGGGGGGCTCTACCCAGCACTCACCGCCCCTGGTCCTGAAGAGCTCACTGCCCTCAGGGACCAGAGTAGGAGATAGAGAGGCCTGGTCCCAAAGCAGGATGAAGGCTGCTTCCCCTCCAGGACGGCCGGGGGCTGGAGCACGGTGGAAAGAGTCCTGGAGGGGAGGCGTCCAAGGCAGGGCTGGTGGAGACACAGGGGCCCTCAGTTTCCCTTGAGTCTCTGCCTCCACACCCTTCCCTCTCCCATCAGCCCTGCCCCTGCCCCTCTCCCAGATGTGCCTGGTCCGGCGCTCGCCTCTCTGCAGGCACATCCACGCGCTTGGCCTGCTGCCTGCCCGCCCCCGGGAGGGCCTCTTCCTCACTACCCCGACATCCTGATACCTCAGCAAGATGCCCTGCTTCCATGGGGGTACTCTTCCCAGGGCTCCATGGGTGGACCTAGCAGTCCTGAGCCCTGAGCGTAGGAAGGCAGGGCCAGCACCTACTCCTGCCTCGCTAGCCCTGTGGGCACAGCCCTGGGCACCCACAAGGCACCTGCTTAGGCTTGTGACTCTGTTGACCTTATCTGAGGGTGGGGGGTGCAAGGGAGGGAGTGGAAGGTCCGACACAAAGTGATCTAGGGACGGACAGAGAGCCAGAGAGAGGGAGACAGGCAGTAAGCTGCAGAGTCAGCTGAGGCTTCTGTCCATAGCCCCGAGATGGGGGAGGGCAGACCCCTGCCCTGGGGGGTAGGCAGCCAGGGGTCAAGGTCCCTCCAGGTGGCCGTGGCAGGGGCAGCCGTGTGCTGAGCTGGTGGGTGTGGGCCAGCCAGGGTGGGGCAGATGGAATGCCGCCCCCTGGCTGGCTGCCCACCTTCACCCCTCCCACCAGCACCTGTCCCAGCTATAAAGCCTCCAGAGAGGAGGGGCCCCACTGCTCCCAGAGACGCCGCAAGATGAAGACAGCCCTGCTGCTCCTCGTTGCTCTGGCAGTGGCTGCCGGGCCAGGTGGGTGAGGGCCTGGGGCGGGGTGGGCAGCTGGGGCCTGTGGGACACACACAGGAGGCCGGCAGTACTGGCCTTTAGGCTGGGAGCATCCTGGACTCCCGGGTTGCTGGACTCAGAATTTAAAACCAGGGGCGCCTGGGTGGCTCAGTCGGTTAAGTGTCTGCCTTCGGCTCAGGTCATGTCCCAGGGTCCTGGCATTGAGCCCCACATCAGGCTCCCTGCTCAGCAGGGAGCCTGCTTCTCTCTCTGTCTCTGCCTGCCTACTTGTGATCTCTCTCTCTCTCTGTCAAATAAATAAATTAAATGTAAAAAAAAAAAGAATTTAAAACGAAATGAACCTACATCTTAGCTTAGTGGAATCAGACTTCAAATATCTCAGAATCAGCACCCGGGATCTGACACTCAGAGGCGGGGAGAGAGGCGGGGAACTGTCTTGAGGTGCCCCCCCACCCCCACCCCCACCCCCCGGGAAAGACCAGCCGCCAGGTCATCCAGCCCCTGACTTTCTGTCCCCAGGGCTACCCCTCCTCCCGCAAGCTCAGCGTGCTCAAGCTGAAGCCCCCGGCCCTGACTTAGCTTCAGGTCCTCATGACCATTGCTGCCCACTGGGGACAGGCTGTGGGGAGGGGGACAGTAGTCGTGGGCTCTGAGCTGCTCTTTGCAAGTCTCAGAGAGAGCTCTGCGGTGCCCCTGTGGAAGGGTCCCCAGGGTAGCCCACGCCAGCCACCTTCCCAGCAGTTCTCTGGACACACCCAGCACAGGCACCCCCTCCAGGCACGAGCGGCCCCACGGTCCCAGCCGTCCAGGACAGTCACCGCCCGACTCCTCCGGAGGGTGTGCACAGGACAGGAGCCCCCGCAGGGCCCGGAGGCCCCAGAGGGGCCCGGTCGGTCTAGGGCAGGGATGGCAGAGGGTAGTGTCCAGACAGTGACCCCAGGCCTCCCTGTGTCCCTCGTCCCCCCCCCCGCCCGCCCCCAGCCCGTGCTCTCCGCTGTCACGTCTGCTCCAGCTCCAGCAACTGTGAGAAAGCCCAGAACTGTGCGGCCAGCGCGCGCTACTGCAGGACCAGCACCAAGAGTGAGTGATCCGGGAGCGCGGGGCCGGGGCGCAGCTCTGTCCAGGGGCCCCGGGGGTCAGGGGGCCATGGCCGGAAGGCTGGTGGGAGGATGTCGGTGACGAGTGGGTTGCGGTGGCGACGGGGGCCGGAGCAGGGACTTGGGGTGCCATGGAGGCCGGCTGCATGGGCTGTGGGGTTCAGAAGCCGCTGCCCAGCCTGACCGCGCCCACGTGTTGCCAGTGGAGCCCCTGATGGGGAACCTGGTGGAGAAGGACTGCGCGGAGTCGTGCACGCCCACGCACAGCCTGCCCGGCCAGGTGAGCAGCGGGGCGGCCGCCACCCTGTGCTGTCAGGACGACTTGTGCAACCGGAGTCTGCAGAGCCGCGCACCCGCCCGCACCCTGCTCCCTGGCACTGCCCTCGGCTTGGCGCTGGCCCTCGGCCTCCTCGCCCTCCTCGTGGCCCCCAGCCTGTGACCTCCTGCGGGCAGGGGCCCCCATCCCTTTCCCAGGGGACTTCCATGCGCCCGGGTCCCTTCCTTTCCCTGCCCTGGGGGGACTCCGCAGCCCCTCCCACGGACGCCGTGAGGGGGAGGTTGGGACACCCCGGGCTGAGCCTGCCTCCGAAGGTCTGGGGACCCCCTCCCCCAAGACAGGAGGATGTACCTCCCTGAGCAGCAGGAAGGCAGGAGACAGGAGGCATTCTGACCCCCTTCTGATTTGACGTTAATTCTGTTCCGTTTCCATTTGTTTTTCTACTTGCATAGGAATAAATGCCTGAAAATTAGCGTGGTTGTGTTTGTGCTGTATCCGGGGTATAGGAGGTGGGGAGGAGGCCGCCCGGCCACACAGGCCCCCAGCTCCTGAGGCTTGTCACCTGGGGCCAGTCTTGGCAACGTGCACGAGGCCTGAAATGCCACTGTCACTCCTCACCTTCAGAGGAGACACAAGCCTCCCCAGGCGCCCTCTCTGCAGCCAGAAGGGTGGGACGCTCCTGGGGGGTCCTGAGTAGGAGCATAGGACAGAAGGCTTGGGTGCTCTTTCTGGCACCCAGTGCAGGTGGTCAGACACACATACACACACACATACCATCCCCACCCTGGGGAGGCTGGCCAAGGGGGCTGCTGAGCTCACCTGGACGGGGTCAACCCAACCAAGGTAAACTTACCTTGGTCCTACTGCCTGGATCTGGGCCCCCTGCCTGGGTTCAGGGCCCCACTGCCTGGGTTCGGGGCTTGCTGTCTGGGTCTGGGCCCCCTGCCTGGGTTCGGGGCCCCACTGCCCAGGTCTGGGCCCTCCTGCCTGGGTTCGGGGCCCCACTGCCTGGGTTCGGGGCCCCACTGCCTGGATTCAGGGCCCCACTGCCTGGGTTCGGGGCTTGCTGTCTGGATCCAGGCCCTCTGCCTGGGTTCAGGGCCCCACTGCCTGGGTTCGGGGCTTGCTGTCTGGATCTGGGCCCCCTGCCTGGGTTCAGGGCCCCACTGCCTGGGTTCGGGGCTTGCTGTCTGGATCCAGTCCCCCTGCCTGGGTTCAGGGCCCCACTGCCTGGGTTCGGGGCTTGCTGTCTGGATCTGGGCCCCCTGCCTGGGTTCAGGGCCCCACTGCCTGGGTTCGGGGCTTGCTGTCTGGATCCAGTCCCCCTGCCTGGGTTCAGGGCCCCACTGCCTGGGTTCAGGGCTTGCTGTCTGGATCCAGGCCCCCTGCCTGGGTTTGGGGCCCCACTGCCCGGGTCTGGGCCCCCCTGCCTGGGTTCGGGGCCCCACTGCCTGGATTCAGGGCCCCACTGCCTGGGTTCGGGGCTTGCTGTCTGGATCCGGTCCCCCTGCCTGGGTTCAGGGCCCCACTGCCTGGGTTCGGGGCTTGCTGTCTGGATCTGGGCAGTTTTGATCACTTTGTGTCTGGGAGTTCCCAGAACCCAGCAGGTGCCCACGCAAGCAGCCCTCCCCACTCCAGGGAGGACTGGAGGCTTCTGCTCCATCTCTCGGGGCAGTCATCACAGTCTCAGGCCTCACTGTGGGTCAGACAGAGCCCCAACTCCAGTGCCAGAAAGGAGGAGCTGTGGCTGGTGGTGGCCCCGGCAGGGTGCATGGCTGAGGGATGGCGGAGATGTGGGGCCCAGCCAGGAGCAGGAGGAGCAGGGCCCCATGTGGCCTGAGCACTGTGGCGAGAGTGGCTTCCAGAGCTGCCAGGCCCAGTGCCTACTCCCCCGGGGCTGTGTCTCCAACACAGGAGCCTCGCTTGGGCGCCACCATCTGACGGGCCTGTGTCCCAGGTGTTTGCCCATGTGGGGCTCGCCCCCCTCCATTCTTCCCCGTAGCTTTTGCACCGTCTAACACACTGTCTTTAGTTTAATCAAGGTACACTTGAGTACGAGAAACAGTACACGCCTGAAGTGTGCAAGGAGATGAGATCGAACGTGTCTCAGTCGCACGAATCATCCTACCATCAAGACAAGGAGCATAGCCATTCCCTCCAAAGCCTCCCGCACCCCTGCCCGTGCCCCCTCCACCCTTCCTGGCGCACCCCACCCCAAGCAACCACGGATCTGCTCTGTTTGTGGCAATGTTACTCGTGACCGCTCAAACAGAGACCCCCCCCCCGCAACACTACACATCAGCCCACATTTTCCAGATTTTGGTAAAATGGAATCCGACAGGATTCAGAGATGCAGCCCTGCTCCAGGGCTTCTTGGTCTTTTGCTCCTACTGCTGCCGGAGCTCGGCTGTCCGACCACCACGAGGTGCGGCCACCGTGTGGACGGTCCATCCGCGCACCTGGACGGCTCCGGGCCTGCGCTCTCAGAGTGACGTTGCTCTGAACGTTCACGTCCAGGTCTTCATGGGGACAGAGGTTTCCTCTCACTTGGACAAAAGCTAGGAGTGGGGTGCACGGGCCTGATGACAGAAGATGCTTCCGTTTTGAGTGGCCACTAAACTGTTCTCCAAAGCGGCTGTTCTCCCCACATTCCCCCCAGCAAAGGAAGAAGGTTCCAGTCAGTGCATACCCTCGCCTTGCTGTTGTCAGCCTTCGACCAGAGCCGTCCTGATTCGGGGGTCATGGGGTCTCCCTGCAGGTCTGGTTTGCACACCCCTCATTAATGAACACTGAGCATCTTCTCGTGTGTATGTTTGCCGTCTGGGTATCTTCTTTGATAAATTGTTAGAAACCTTTTACTCCCTTGTCTCTTTTGGGTCGTTTAGCTGATGATTATTTGTAATACTTATTCATCCATTTTAGATACAACTTCCTAGATACATATTTTGCAAATATGTTCTCCTGATCTGGCTTGTTTTTTCATTTTTATAACATTGTTTTGTGAAGAGCAAAAGTTTCGTTTTGATGAAGTCCAGTTTATGGATTTCTTCTCGTATAGTCTGTGTTTTTAAAGAAATGTTTGCCATACCCGAGGTCACTAAGATTTCTGGTGGTGTCACTCTTAGGTAAGGTCTGTGACCCACCGGGAGCCCATCTGTGAGCGAGCCGGGATGCACAGATGGAAAGTCAAGCTTGCTTGCGTCTGGCCTCGCCGGTGGAAATGGTATTCCTCTCTCCGTTGAAATGACTTAGTACCTTTGTCAAAAGTCAGCTGACCGTACACGTGGGGTCTGTCCATTCTGACACCCCTTCCACACTGTTGTGAGTATATTAAGGCCTAAAATCAGGTCGTGTGAGACCTCTACCTTTTACCTTCTTTTTCCAAAATGGTTTTAGCTATTTTAGATGCTTTGCATTTCCATATAAATTTTAGAGTTAGCCTGGTAATTTCTTCAAGAAAAATGCCCTTGGGTTTTGGCCTAGGAATGCACCTAAACCACAGATGGGTTTGGAGAGAAGTTACATCTCATTGTAAAGTCTGCTCATCAATGAGTGTGAGTATCAGTGAGTATGACAAACCTCTTCATCTGGTGAAGCCCTTTAAGAATGTATTTCAGCAATGTTTTGTGGTTTTCAAAGTGAACGTGTCTTCTACGTCTTTCGTCAACATCATCCCTAAGTTTTTGCCTGTTAACCTTTTATCCCACAACCTTGCTAAACCAACATAGGTCTAGGAGGGCTTTCTTGAGTTGGCTTTTTTTGTTTGTTTGTTTGTTTGTTTGTTTTTTGGTACATTCCCCGAAATTTTCTTTGTGAATACCTGTCATCCGAAAACCAGGGCAGTTGTACTTCCCTTCCAATCTTTGTGTCTTTTAAGGTCTTTGTTGTGCCTCGTTGTACAGCTGGGCTTCCAGCATGAGGCCAAGTGAGAACCATCAGAGGCCCTGCTCTGCTCTGGCGAGTGTAGGCCCGCGCTCTGTCTTTCCAAATGGAATAGATGAACTGTAGGTTTTCTGCAGGTGCCTTTATCAGGCTAAGACAGGTCCCCCCTGTTCCTAGTTTGCTGAGAGGTTGGTTGGTTGGTTGGCTGGTTGGTTTAAACAGAAACGGACGTGAGATTTTGTCAAACGTTTTTCCCAAATCTATGCAGATGGTCGTCTTGTGGATGTGGTGAATCACACTCGTTCTTCAATGTCAAACTGGCATTGTCCTTTGTCATGTTCTATTTCCTTTTCTCTATTATTGGATTCGTTTGCTACACTTATGTTCATACCTTTTACAGCTAAGTCGGGAGAGACGCCGGTCTGCTGTGGTTCCCTGTAACGTCTGTGTCTGGTTCTGGTCTCAGAAGGATGGTGGCTCCCAACGAGCTGGCACAGCCTTCCTTCTCCAGAAGAGGTCGGAGAGTGTCGGTATGCGTCTTTCTTTCAATGCTTTGTAGGGATGCCTGGGAGCTCAGTCGGTGAAGCGTCTGCCTTCGGCTCAGGTCATGATCCCGTGATCCTGGGATCAAGCCCCGCATCGGGCTCCTTGCTCAGTGGGAAGCCTGCTTCTCCCTCTCCCTCTGCTGCTCCCCCTTGCTCATGTTCTCTCTCTCTCTCTCTCTCAAATAAATAAATAAAAATTTTATAAATAAATAAATAAATAAATGCTTTGTAGAATTCACTGGAGTTTTCTTTGTGGGAAGATTTTTAGCTACAAATTCAATTTCTTCCAAAAGACAGAGGCATAATCCGTTACGTATTTCCTGTCGAGTGAGCGCCGCGGGCCTGTGTGTGTGAGGGGCCTGGCCCGAGTCATCTAAGTTGTAGGACGCATTGGTGTAATGTTGTCGTGACCTGTCCTGATGTCCCCTTTCTCATTCCTGCTTTGTGGTTTGTCTCATCTTTTCTCTTTTTGATCAGTCTACACAGAGGTTTAAAAATCATATTGATGTTCTCAAAGAGTCAGCTTTCGGTTTGACTGATCTTCCCTATTGTTTTTCTTTTGCTATCTCATTGTGTTTTTTTCCCCCTTATTTTTATTATTCCCCTTATTTTGCTTCCTTGGGGTTTGCTTTGCTCTTGTTCTAGTCTCGCTGTGTTGAGAGCTTTCTGGTTTTCTAATGTGAGCATTAGCCAGAACACTCCCTTTCCAAATACTGCTTTAGCTGTGCCCACTAA